TCCTTTAAACCCAATCAATAAATCATATATTGGGAGATAATATAAAACTAGGCCACAACCCACCTCCCAAGTTCGATAAATCTGCTGTCAGATCAGAAAGGCTGAAATTCCACTGAATTTGATCCAATGATCTGAGGGAATCTCTTGAATTTCCAACTCCATCTGGGCCCAGCTGCAAACCAACTGAACTTGCCACATCAGACGTAAATGCAGTATCAAGTGCTGAAGTGTCTACTCCCATTCCCGACATGTCTGACGCAGTAAATGGAAAATGGCCACTAGATGCCACAGACGTAGGACTAACAGGCATGTCTGACATGGATGACATGGCACTATTAGGTGGAATAACAGGAGCAGTATCAGTTAGATTGTTGTCGATTACCATGCTACATCAGGCACAAAAAAGACTGCTATTAGCTGAAATTGCTATTCTGAAAGCAATAATACAGATAAATAATACATGAAAGACTGAAATAAATGTCAAACTGCAGGTTTATATTCTCACTCATTTGAGGAATTCATCCTCATTGGATGAAAATTTCCTGGTGCAGGGACTCCATTGACCACATGACAGCTTGAAATTCCGCACCCAATAGAATCAAGATGGGGTTGACCTGTAGCTGGAATTGTAGGTGGTTGTAGGATAGGGTATCCCATAGGTAAGTTGTTAACTGCACTGCAAACAAGTATCACTGAATAATAATGACAATGGTAAAAGAATTTAAATAATCATATAAGCTTATAGCCTGTGACTGAAGCTCCATCCCAACAAAGAATATCCTTTAGAAAATGCTTCACAGAACATATTGTCACAGTGATGGAATGTTGAAATGAAGTACTTAGAAAGCTTGAATTAATTTAACATTTGGCATAAAAGGAATGAAAGTAGAAGCAAAAATATTCAGTAACATTCCTAATCCTTAAACTTCCAGTGAAACTCAGATTTCTACTTGTAAATAAATTCCATTGCTTTTTTGCTTCCTTTCTTTTGATACTTGATACGACTCATTCATACATTTGACAACCACCAGCATAAGCAACACCGCTGGCTTGTTCAATAGCAATGGATTGCATACCAACTCGAACAACCAAAAGGCAACTAGTGGTAAATTCTTACATTGCATACGTTATATGAGACCTCATATAGCCAGATGGAACATGTCAGTTAGTGGGCATGTAATCCCACCACTGGTTCAGTTTGTTGATCTCATCACTTCACTACTCTACTGCAGGTAGAAGTCCTTATCATATCAATACCAACAAGTCCATCAGCTAGAGCAACGATGCAAGTAATTGATATTTAAAGTCCACCATCTTACAGAAGGCTTGGTTACCTAAGCCACAGGTAGGTGGTTCACTCTCTCAAAATACTCATTAGTCTTCTATAAAAAAATAAGACAAAATCCCGAGGTCACTGTTTGCTTACACATTCAGGGATTTGAATTATCATTAGACTACAAGAAGACCTCCTAGCTCAGCCTCCTAAACTTTTGAGATAACTTAATTGGTTGTTCTATTGGTGCATAAATAGTCGCTTCAACCCTCATCAACCAAAGATAAGAGAGTTTTTTAACTCAGAAGATCACTGCCTTCAGACTAATTCCAAACTGAATTGAAAAACCTCCGGGTCGCACCCTCACCCCATAGTCTGAAAATCTATATTGCCTCTTCAACTCCAACAACTGAGTGGTTAAAAATTCTGATAATTGATAAAATTCCAATAATTGAAGTGTTAAAATTCTGATCTTTATCGGCCTCTTTGACTCCGTCAAGCTAATTCCTATTCAGTCTTTAGTCCACACCTCCAGAGATATTAGTTCTGGTTCAGTCCAGATCTTGACCAACTACCAATTTTGAGTGTTTCTTTGATGTTAGTACATCACCTTTTAGTCTTATAATGCTATGAGTTGTGCAAGATGCTTAATTATTTTTATTTTCAGGAGTTGCATGAAGCAAGGTCTTTTGTTAAATCTCTTAACTCCTTCTTGGTGCTCATAGTCAAGATTAGCAGGGCCCACAACATTAAGTAATTTAGATCCATTAGCTTAGTTGGTTGTATGTATAAGCTAATTGCCAAGATCCTTGCGAGGAAGATGACAAAAGTTCATAGATAAGGTGATTGGTGAATGCCAACACGCTTCTGTGTTTAGTAGGCAAATCCTTGATGCTGCGTTGACTGCCAATGAAGTAGTAGATACAAACCTGTAGTAATTAAGCATCTTGCACAACTCATACGATTATAAGACTAAAAGGTTATAACACTAAAGAAACACTATAGTAGTTCAGCTGATATTTAATAAGGGATTAACAGAATGATCAATTTGAAAACAAAACAAAAAATTTACTTGTTAAGATTAAGGGACCGATTTAAAAGGGTAGTAAAAATAGGGACCAAAAATAGAATCAAACCAATTATTTTATTTAAATTAAACTATAATTGAAGAACATTTAAGATTAGGCTCTTTCTACTGATCTTAAATTAAGCTGAATTTGAACTTCTCTAACTATTTGGTAAGAAAAAGGTACTACCTTAAATAAAAGCTTATCTCAAAAAAAAAAAAAAAATTATATAAAAGCTAGAAATCAAGTTCATTCAAACTTCAGCTCTAAGTATTACTAAAATGAGCTCAACTATACAATTACTTGGCTTGATTAGTTTTCATTCCTATTTATGAAAATCATTCTAAAAAGTAAAAATTAGAAAGTCACTAAGAAGTCTTAAGTATCATATTTAAATATTTATATCACACAACCAAAAAAATTGAAAAATTCTCAAAGTATTTTATCAAATAATTGAATATGTCTCTAAATGTGAAATTACACATTCTTTGTAGTGCTCCCCAAGTAATTTAAACTAAGAAATAGTAGAACTAATAAGATTAAGAATACTAACCCTAATAAGAATAGGAAACCCTACAAATAAAACTAGAGAAACTAAATGCTAATTAAAAATAAAATTCTAAGTCACCAAAACTATAATAACATACTCATAAATAGTGTAGTAGTTTTATATTTAATAGAATTAAAATTTCTAATCTATTTAGGTAATTTATTGCTATTCCACTCTGCATCACATGATATTTCTCCTATTTGATAGCACAATTTTGTTCTATACATAGAAAAATGACTGCTTACTTCACATACAATTGGCATACACTTCAAACATTTACTTAGCCACCTTGAAAGATGAAAATCTAGCCATGCTCCTAAGCGTGATACAGCTTATTTATTTTAGGCTGCTTAACCATGTGAACGGTGGCCAATCATTAAAGAAGATTGCTTCACAAGGACCAAGCAAGTCATTATTCTTCAATCGTTGGCTCTGAAATTATTAAGCTGGGTTATGGTTATCTTAAAAGCTTAAAACAATAGAAAAATGTGGACAAAATATAAGTCCACTAGACGTTGCCCCTTAATTTAATTTGTAAAGAAATGAAGCAGTCAAGACCTCTAACACTATGATATATGAAACAATTAAATTGATGGACCTAATTCCCAAAAAACTTAAGTTGATAAAAAATAATTAAACCTTATTATTCATACTATAACCCTCACAATGTAGGCATTAGAAGCTTACTAATGCGCTATAGCATGGAAGATCAAAGTCAGATAAGAAACAATTTCTCAGCAGTGTTGACAACAAGCATATCATAGGATGAAGTCATTAGCTAAACCAAAAGCATATTTGGCATAGTTGGGTTACTAGCACACTGAGATTCAAAACGGCTTAGGTTAGATTTAATAATACAGAAGTAAAGCTAGTTTTACTACAATCAAGGTTAACTATGGTAAGGAACTCAAACTCCCAACCCGAACCAAAATAAGGAAGACACTATATATGTTAGCAGTACTCATTTTTCACATGTACCATGTTAATGATTTCAGAAAACTAAATATGTGTATGTGTGCGCATGTGTGTATACTGAAAAAGCTCAGCTTCTTTTCTCATACGGAGAAAGTAAAGGTACTTATGCCTGTCAACAGTAATGAGCTATGACTTCTGAACTTACCAGGCATGGGATGGATTCCATTTTGTATTGGGGCCAAAGGAACCTTTGGAGGTACAGGATATTTCATGAGATTATACTGGTGCTCAAGCAAATGGTTGAAGAGAAGAATTTGTTTCTTCAATTTCAACCTTACATAGTAGGCTCTGAAAAAATCAGCATTTTCCTCTTCCAACTTCTGCCATACTGAGGCAATAAGAATAATTAGAAGAAATACAAACTAGGAATACTTATATCATACAATGGTCACCCATGGTACTAGTTTAATAGTCTCCCAAGAATTTACAGAATCCAGATAGTACTTTTTGAAGTGGGATTTTTATTTTATCATTACAAGGATTTTTATTTTATGATTACAAAAATTTTCATCTTAGTTTACAAAGATCAATGCTATTACGAATATAAAATTTGAGAACATAAATTGAGAATATTTTAATTATACATATTAAAACTAACAAAACAGTGTCCTACAACCTTTTTATAAGAAAAGAAACACCGTGCAACTTTACAATATATTAACAAGAATACAAAGAATAACAAATACTTTTCGAGGAAACCTACCCAAAGTAGTAAATCCAGGATCTATCCTTGCACGAGTGAGGAGGGTTTTTACAACCTCATCCCTGTTCATGTATAACTGCAAACATCGTTCTATTAAATTCTGGACCTACATAAAGGATTTTCAGAAACTGTGATCAGTAAAAGATAAAAATAGATTATTTCACCTTCAAAATTGAAGACTACAAAAGGAAACGGAACCAGGTTTTTATGCCCAAATATTCAGCAATGAATAAGAAGGAAAAAAGTGCAGTGTGGGCCTCATGCAGGAGAAAGGAAATCTGGACTGATCTTCCTAAGCTTTTCTACTTTTAGATTTGATAAAGAAAAAAGAGAATACTTAGATGGGAGTTGAATAAAATAGGAAATTGTTTTACATTCGTCAGAAATTTCCAGTTGAAAAATTTACTTGCACAATTTTATCTAGTTAGGATTCTGGAACAAAATACGAAATTCTTATGATTAGTAAATTTTATAATTAGGGAGTTTTACGTATGTTAAAATAGGAAATCCTATTTTAGAGCTTTGCTATAAATAAGCAAATAAATTGCATATTTATAATATAATCATAGAATAATTAATTAAAAGTAAGTTGTGCGGTACCTTAACTCTCAGAGATTTGTAGGTTCTCCCTAAGGAGACCCCTAAATTCCAAATATCGTGACACAACCTATCCTAAATATGGGACCCCATCAAATTGACATCGAAGCAAGAGCCTTCATAACATGATGACAGAAACCGTGATCATCCAGAGAGAGAGAGAGAGGGAGAGACCATGAGGCCAGGGAGGAAAGCAAAAAGATTGACCATGCCATTCAAACTCCTTCCCAAGGAGCTTTCTGGCACTAAATCAAAAGGGAAATTCACACCAGAGGAAGTCTCCAGCAGATCAGCGAGGAACGGACAGCACAGTAAGGATCTCTAAGATTAAGTTAAGCATCTTTGTTCCCATGATGCAGAGTCATATCCTCCTTAGTCTACAGTCTGAACCAATGGGTCATTCATTGTCAGTCGAGCAAGTTAAGGTTCCTTTTGTTGTTAGAAGCCATGAAGAACCTATGCTTTTCAACATAACACAGGGTCATGGCACCTTGTGATGTCAACAATCTCGTGCAAAAGCTGAATAAAATGATGAAGTCAAGGAAGCAATGCTTGAATGCATTAAGAGGAGAAAGAAGATGTGGAGGATGGTTTCAAAGTTCCAAAAAGAATGAAAATAAACAGGGCCTGTTTCTTTACTTGACTTGATCATTTTATTTTATTTTATTCGCAAGATTATCAATGTCACAGGAAGCCATGACTTCAAATTCTTCTAAAAAGAAAGGAACTCCATCTGCTGAATTCCCACCTACTGACGAATGTACAACAATTGCACAGTGTATGAAGAGGGAGGATATGACTGTGCCTTTTGGGGAGCAAAGATGTTTACCTTAATCTTAGATATCCTTGTTCTTTTGCCCTTCCCTTAGCTACTCTTCTGGACACTAGCCTCAGTTGCAGAATTCCCATCTGATTTGCTACCAGACAGCTCCTTGAAGAGGAGTTTGAGCTGCATGGTAATTCTTTTTACTTTTCCCCTCTAGACCTTCAGTTTCTCTCTCTGTGCAATCACTGTTTTTTGTCATCCTGGTATATAAGTACAAATCCTTCAAATTATCGTTGAAAAGCTTTTGAGTCACCCATAGCCTAAACTCCAGGACCAAACTGATAAGATCCCATATATAGGATCAGGTTAAAGGTTTGAGACATGTACCATTTATGGTTTGGGGCTCATTAAGGAGAACCCAACGATCTCTAACGTTAAGGAACTCTAGAACCTGTTTTTAATCAATTATTTTCTGATTTTGTTATATATAGGAGCTCTAGACTAAGCTTTCTTATTTTAGGATACAAAAAATTCCTAATTATAAAAATTTCCGAATCATAAGAATTACCGATTTTATTTCAAAGGGCTAATTTCAAATAAAATTATTAAGGAAATTCTTAAACTGTAGACTTCTAACTAGTACAATATAATTCTCTATTTTATTCCAAACTCCTACTCTAAATATTCTATTTTTCATAGTTTTCCTCTCTCGAGGGTGACGCCCACACTGCCACTTTTTTCTTCTTTCACTTCATCTTTTGCTTTGTCATTTACCAGGGCATAGCATAACTGCCCATTGAAGAGCCAAAAAGAAGGATTAGGCTGTCTTTACCAGTTCAATGTCTTGACGTGAAACTTTTCTGCCATCATTGCTTGAAGCAGATACAGAAGCAGAATCTGCTAAGGGAGCTTCTGTTGTTTGATTGTTTTGTTGGTCACCTTGGGATTCGTGTGAACCTTGGGTCGAAGACTTTACTTCCTGAGTGCTCTGCAATCCCATAAAGAGCTGTCTTAGACATGGAATGGTAGCCTTTGAGAACCACATATAAAAGCCTAACACAACTAGGATTTATTTGTCACTAGCCATGATTATGCAGGTTTTCTCAACAAATCTATTCAAATAGATTTTGGATTTAACTAACAAGTGGGATTTATTTTCCCATTTTATGTATTTAATGTCTATATAAAGCACCTTTATTAGTTTAGACTACACATAACTGATGAGCTAGATAGTTATTGAGAACATTGATATCCAAGATTGCATGTTCTTCTCCCTTTTCTTTCTATTTCCCTCAGGTCAGGATCCTTCAAATTTACTTGAATTCATAACAATCAAGGAAAGAAAAATAAAGGGAAAATGCCTGGTAAGATCAATAATTCATCTTTTGCTTACTAAATAATGCAAAAGGGGAAAAAAGGATTAGAACACATTTTCTTGAAATTATAGACTGAAACAAAATGTTCCTAAGATGTGTACAGTGGCTACGAAATGCAGAAGACTATACAAAGAGAGGTTTTATTCACACAAGCATTTGCAAGTGCGTATGCACGCATCACAAAATAGGGGAAATGCATCGGATGGCACTCGTTCACATTAAAGTTTGATTCCTCATAGTGGCCTAAAGCAAAAACAATACGAAGAAACTGAGAGGGAACAAGTAGGGGAAGGCCTAAGTGAGAGATGTTATAATCAAACCTGTAAGTTCTTCATTACAGCTCAATACAAACTGACGGCATCTCTTGCTCAGCTCATACTCTCCAGCTGCAACAAAGACCACACAATGTTTTAACTGTTATGGTCAAAATTTTAGCACACAACCTTATGAGACTTCCAAACTCAATGGTAATCCAGGTTGGCCAACTTTGCCGATAGAGATTTTCCCATACTTGGCTTATAACAATCTTCAAGTGAATAATATGCAAAATTGAATTCTAAAGCTTCCAAGGATTCACAGCTGGAACACATAGAATAAGATACACCACCAACAAGTAGCACGATTCACCAGATAAAGAGAGGCCCGGTCTGGCACCTAGACTTCAAGGTTAAGTCTGAATGCGACAATGTTACAAAATGTGACCACGCACATATCGAAAGAACAAAATAGCATATGAACTAACCAGATCTTAGTACAAGAATCTGTTTAAATCTTACTTTTACAGACTACAGAACGAAGACTTTCATTTACGAAGGGAAAAAAATCATCCTTCTAGCCAGCATTTTGTAAACATTTTCAGTTCCTTAAAGCAGAAATTACTTCAACGTTTAGCTGAAAATAGCAAGTGATGTATTGTAAAACGCAACCAAACAGTACCTCATCCTCAAGTAGCCAAATGGAAATTTTGAGATATCAACACGTCACGACTGTGTTACAGGAAAAGAAATAAACATGTTGCAAAAAGATAAACAAATAGAATAGGGAAATAAAAAAGGGAGAATGGACATCAAACTGACAACATGAAAGCAGAAATTAGAACAACCAGAAAGCAACGGATAAAGCAGAAATTAGAAATACCAGAACACAACGTATAACCCAAAACAAGAGGAAAAAATTAAAAAAAAAAAAAAAAAGATCTGACAACAATTACCTAGCCTTGAAGTTCTTGAAACAAAAATATATCTAAAGAAAACACGAGACAGCCTTTAGTTCGACGAATTTGAAGATCTTCGGTCTCCTTCAAAGCTTAGGAGTTGATGGATTTCAGATATAGACTAAGCGCCAAAAGATAGGGAAGCTCAAAAACAAAGATAAGGAGATAATTCCAAGCTCAAACGGAAGAAGACTAGAACAGTGACTAAAACGCGTGCAGTTAAGATTTGAGTCGTATTTGAGAAGGCGGTCATCAGAAAAACGAAGATAACACGAGTGAAATGGTTTATCTATTGGCTTAATTTGAAATTCAAACCAGAAGTTGAGAGGGATTGCTGTGAGTCTCTGACATTATTGGAAGCAGAAGCAGGCGAAGAAGAAGGGAACTGTCCACGGTGAAACGGAAGACTAGAAAACAAGTTTAACAAGGGGAGGAAGAAAAAAAAATCTCACGGAACTATGGTTGGGTTTGCTCTGGGTTTTAGCTTTCTTTTAAATTAACAAAGAAAATGATGGTTCTTGCAAAAATAAAAATTCCTCTAAAAATAAAAAATAGAAATAAAATAATAAAATAAAAGTCGGTGCAAGTCCGAACGGCTATAACGGCTTCTGGCGTCGGCTTCCGTTACGGGGTTATTTATTAATCACTTCTCACGGGGCCTTTGTGACAGTAGTCCGCAAGTCGTCGTGACACTCGTCTCTGTACTAATCATGAATTACTTTCTGTTTTTTTCTGTTTGTTTTTCTCTTTCGTTTACTTATCTAATAAATAAATAATGTTTTTATTATTTTCACACGGAAGTATTAAAATAATAATTTCAGGTCCAAGTGTTAAATTTGCTTTGAATAATAAAATTGTCTGTCACACTGTTCAGGTTTCAATTTATTCATTTAACTTATGCGTAAAATCATTAATATATTTTTTATTATTATAGAAAAATAAAATTAAGAAAATATTGTACAGTAAATTATATTTCAAAATTAAGTCACTTAATTATTTAGATAAAAATAATAGCAAATTACAATTAGTTCTATGTGGTTAGTTCTTTATTTTATTGGAAATATATATATATATATATATATAATATAACCTCAATTAATTTTTTATAAAAATTTAGAAAATATTTTTTAATTTTAAATAAATTTTTTATCAAATATATTTTATGTACCTTTTTTTTTGTCTAAAAGAGCTATGTAAGGACTAGAAAGTAGAAAGAATAGAAAGAAAAAAAATAATAATAATAATAAAAACGACGTCGTTTTAGAGAGGGGAAAAACGACGTCGTTTTGAAAGAAAGAAAAACGACGTCGTTTTGAGATGTAGAAAAACGACGTCGTTTTGGGGTAGGCTGGCAGAGTATAAAAGGAGGTCGGGAAAGGGAGAAGGAAAAAGGAGAAAAGAAAAAAAAAGAAGAAAAGGAAAAAA